GGGCATCGAAGAGTTTTCCCTTTGAAACAAAAATTCTCTGCAAAGAAGAAAAGGATAAAAGTGTCAGAGACAGTGGAAGAAGAATATTCGCAGCCCTGCAGTGATGGCTATGAGGTGCCCATCCTAGGGAGGGCACTGACGCCAGGGCAGTGTCCACACCCCTAGTGCCAGGCCACCCGCTGCTCCCGGGCCGAGGGAGAAGGAAACTCAGTGATGGGGTGAAAATCCCAGCTTTTTGAGTCCCATGATTTCAGAAATGCAAATTCATTTCATTTCAAGCTTTATGGGCCCTTCTGCTCAGCTCAGGACTTCCTAATGACACCCTGATTTCATGGCACAGGAGCAGCCCAGGCAAATCCCTTCACCTCCGCCCATGAAATCCACCTTGTGGACTGGCCCCACAGGGATGGGCACCAGCATTTGACAGAGGTTAACCAGGAAACATGCAACCTGCTGGGCTGGGGCCCCTCACCCAGGAGCGGGTGCAAGAGCATGGTGGGAGCACACAAAGGCACTCCAGAAAGGTAAAGCTACACAGTATCACTGGTGGGTGCAGACCTGTCATTAACCCCTGCCCTTTTCCTCACTCATCTGCAGCAGTGTTTAGGATGCACTAAAATTACTATGGATTCCATAAGCAACAAGAAGCAGTTGGCTGTACACATCTGACACCTGCTGAGCCTTTCTGCACAACACTGTGATACCAACACTCACCTGTGATGAGTTCATGACTTCTTCCTGCTAGTGGCTCTGTGTGAAAAAACAGAACACAGGGTGGGTTGCAAGCAAAGGGACAAGAAGTGACAAAACCCCTTCCCTCCCTTCCCATCCCTCACAGGCCCCTCAGCCCCCAGAGCCCCCGTGGCTGCAGGGAGGACGTGGCCATGCAGTGTCTCACCAGCGACAGCCCCAGCACTTACCATGCTGGAGCTGCCGTGGCTGAGCTTGTCGAAGCGAAACTTCAGGTTGGACCTTGGAGAGTTTCTATTCTTTACATCTGCTGTAGAGAGGGGAAAAGCAAAGAACACAAATAATAAACTGTGAACAAAAATATTTGCTGTAGTACTGGCTGCGCTCGCCCAGCCCAACATCCAGGCACTTCAGTGGGCTGTCAGGAGTGCTACCAATATTTAGTCTGTCTTGGCTGAACATTTGGCAAAAGCTATACATTAAGTGTTTGTGATGGAACAAATTGAGGCTTAATTACATTTCACAGTCTTTCTCCTGGAAATGCCACTGAAAAGGCTACAAGGAATGACTGATCCGTATAATGTATGGGTGGATTTTCATGTTCTTGGCAGGAAAAATACAAAATAAACACTTCAGACATTAAAAGGGGCCAGTTTAAGAGTTCAGAAGAACACTAATGAAATAAGGAGGAGGACCAGTGGAGTGCTGAGAGACAAAGAGCCAGGCTGAGCCCTGCAGCCTGCGACACCCCCAGTACGGAGCTGTGCATGCCCAGCTGTTCCACAAACAGCTCCTCAGCTGATGCCGTGCGTTTCCACGTGACAGTGGTGCTCCGTGGCACGAGGAATCAGAACTGCAGAGATCTGTGGGCAAGGGGTGAGTGTGGCCAACCCCTGCCCACCGCAGGGCTGGCAAA